AGAGAGAGAGAGAGAGAATTTCTAAGCTTATGATCATTAGAATCCATGCTGTCGAGACTACTTCTTTTTTTTTTAGGCTGCTTCACATAATCAGATTAACTTCCCCTGACATTTTATAGATAAATCATAATTTCCGTTCAAGGACCTGGTCTAGTCTTCGTCATCTATCCCCAAGCGCTAGTCAAGATGCCAGCTTCTCAACTGTGGGCTGTGTTATTTTTCTTTATGCTAGTCTGTCTTTCGTTGAACAGCCAAGTAAGTAATATAAAATAATTAGATAAAATAATTCATTCCGATAAATTTCGATGCTGCGTGCACAACATTCGATTAATTAATCGGGACAATGCAAACGCACAATTGAATTGTGCTACCGCGCAAAATCTATAAAAATACAATCACGCGCGGAAACGTAAAACTAAATATCAAAATCACATTACTCAATCGCTTAATGAATGGAAATCGCATTTTGACGGTGCTTTCTATTTTGGAGATCGTAATAGTTGGGCTTTTGCAATGTTTTAATGGTATTACGTAAACTCCGGGGATTTCAGTTTGCCGTTGTTGAAGTGGTCGTTACGTCGATCCAAGACGGTTTCCCGAATTGGGTGAAGCGTCATCTTCTCTGCCACGAAATGTTGGTCCTCGTCATATGCGTCGTTTCGTTCTTATTTGGACTGCCGAATATTACGCAGGTAAAATGACACACCCCGCTCGACGTTTACTCCGCATAATGAAAGTTAACGTTCTTGCCTCTTACTAAATCGTTTCCCGGCTGTTTCAGGGCGGTATTTATTTCTTCCAACTGATAGATCATTATGCCGCATCGATATCCATTATGTTCTTGGCGTTCTTCGAAGTAATCGCTATTTCTTGGTTCTACGGCGTAAAACGGCTGTGCAATAACGTAAGAGAAATGACCGGACATTTGCCCTCGCGGTACTTCCGGTTCTGCTGGTTCCTCGCCGCGCCTCTTCTCATAATGGTACGCAACGTTATCAATGGCTGCTTTCAACAGACAAAGCAGTTTTGCAACTGTTATAGGATTTTTTAATATAATTGGTTTTAAAACCAGCGAGGGATTAAAGACAAGAATCAATTATATTAAGGATTCTTATATCAGTTGCAAAGCTGTTTTCTCTGCTAAACGCAGCCAATGAATTTCAGGATATTTAAATTTTTATACAATACTTTAAAATTGTATAAATTTATTTTTATAGAATTATAAATTTTATATGATATTTAATTTAATTTATCTGAGCCAAATAACGATTGAAAATCGCTATGAATCGAGCGGAGCGCAACAAGATATATCAAAGACGAAAGCAATTTTGTGCGAATTACTTGTATAATTATTATTCTTGGAAAAACACAATCTTGTTTTTATCCGACGACAGTAACGCGCGGATGATTGCCCACTTTTAATCGCAGTTGGTTGCGCTTCTCTCGATACAGTCGACAATACCTAAGACGTATATGACTGCATTTTCATAATTGCCTTATTTTCTCAGGCTATATGGGTATTCAGCTTAATTGATTACGAGCCGCCGACCTACCATAATGGCGATTACACATATCCATGGTGGGCAGAAGCGATCGGATGGAGCATCGCGTCTCTCTCCTTGATTTGCATTCCTGCTTTTGCCGTTTACGTATTCGTCGGAGCTGATGGTGCCACGTGTGCCGAAGTATGTCGAGTTCTATTTACATTGTTGAATTACCACTGAAGTCAACCGATTTAATTGTCTTATTATAAAAGACTCAATATATTACCTTAAAATCTCTCTATTGTAACGTAAGAATTTTTTTTTAATTTGAACAAAATATTTTTTTTAAATAAATCGAAAATTTTATGCTGCAATCTCGTACTGCTGATATTTGTTGTACAAATAAAAAATATTGCAATATTACGATAGAGAGGAAAGAGTATTTCGTGTTTTTTAAAGAAACTTTCATCCTCAGAGACTCAAAAATTCCATCAAACCGCACTTCGAGGCGTGCAAAGTTTGCGGGCAGGAATATTGCGTGGATCCGATGCACAATCTGCCAGAGAATACGCTTAAAGAGTCGCAAACAGACGTGGACACATCCATACAACTAAATTCGAACTACCCGATGAAGCCTCAAACGTGATAACGCATCAAATCGATAGGAACGATCGGCTTTTCACGGTTTCGCTTAATTCACAGGGTGCAAAGTCACTTTGGGGAAAAATTGGTTAACAGGAAATATTCGCTCGCGTACTTTTACCATTAATTACTAGGCAGTCAATATTCCATTATTTATAACTCGTTACAAGTATAGTAATTTCTTGCGAGAAAGAGTCATTAAGAATATATGTTACGAATGTTATTATTTCTCGTAAACTGTTAAGCCATCGTCATGTGATAGACTTTAGGCAAGCACTGATTCGACATAGGAATATATTTCTGTATATATCGCAATATCTATTAATCATAACATCTATTAATCATAATTTTAATAAATTATTATCCGATAATGCGTATTTTTCTCTCAACATTATTCGACATTATTATTTTTTTCCATATTATTACCTTTTAATCCATATTATTTTCTCCATATAATTTCCTCTTACATTTAATAGTCTTTTATCTGTCTTAATAAAATAACTTGCAAGTATCACAATTACCCTTTTCTCTTAGTAATAATAATCGCACATTTTATTCGACTATGTAGTACAGAGACCTTACAGAAAGTGTTGCTCTACAAGCGCTTATGTAAGTTTAGAATCTCCGTTACGCAGGGAGTTTCGATCGCATTGAATCCTCATACGGTAAATTAGATATAACTAATTGTATTATGCGTCTCTGGGACGCAAGTCCCGGTGGCACTCTCTCATTTGAACACCGGGCAAGCTCAAGTTCGCATCCAAGTTTACCTTAACATCGTTTCGCTTAAAGTTGCTGAGCCATGACAAAGAAGTTCGAATTTAATTGGCGCATCGAAGTGCCGGAGCTCTTGAGAAATGGCGCGATGTTCGATCGATGGTTCGAAGACAAGGAGACGACAGAATACGAACCTGATTGCCTGTTTAAAGTAGATGAATATGGTTTTTTTATATACTGGAAAAGCGACGGCAAGGTAGCTTACCGTAGAATATTTATATCTTCTAAACAGAAAGATATCATTCTTATATTTTAACAATTGAGTTTATTAAAACATGATGTAATAATTTTTTCATAGGATGGCGATGTCATAGAGTTAGCTCAAGTTAGCGACATTCGTTATGGAGGCACGCCAAAGGTAAACTTCGCGTAAAAAAGAGAGATTTGAAATAAAAATATTATGATAATAATGATTTGAGTAACAACAACAGTCGGTTTATTTAGGATCCAAAATTATGCAACAAATTGAGCAAACACGGAACGTTAGAGCAATTAGATCAAAAAAGCTTAACTATATGTTCTGGAGTGGATTATACGAATATTACTTATCAACACATTGTATGTCCGGATGAACAAACGGCTAAGGTAATAAAAGTTGAGAAAGAATTAGAAAAGGATTAAAGTTGTATAAATTTAAATTTTAGAAAGCCTCTGAAAATTGTTAATTTTTTTAATTTTCAATTTCTGCCCTAATTAAATTTACTTGTGATTTAAGGTTTTATTTAATTCTCGCATTTTATCTTTAATTTTAAATATACATCTATATTTACGTTTATTTTACACTGCTTTCATCGTTAATGTGATTACCATCCTCAATTATCTTCTTATTTAACTTCTCTATATATTAATGCTAATCTGTGATTAATCAATTCAGGATTGGCAAGCTGGTTTGCGTTTAATTACGCACAACACAAAAGCAAGTAACGTTTGTCCAACAACACAGCTTATGAAGCAGTACGTATTCATTAATTCGAATCCAATATAGCTACGCAAAAATATAACAAATATTTGTCTGCTGTTAATTTGCGCTGTTTATTTTGATCATTAAATGAAATTTGGCTGATCGTTGATCGAACTCGCCAGTTGGATACGGCTAAGTTTTCAAGTCGATCCGAAGGGAAAAGTACCTGTGAAAGTGATATCAAAGACTTTTGCATCTGGAAAGACTGAGAAACTCGTTTATCAAGGATTATCGGAACTGGGTTTACCTAGTGGAAAAGTGAGCCAATAAATATGAGAATTTTCAAAAGGAAAAAACTTATTTTAATTAATATTTGAATGTGATCAATAAAATTTGTTTAAAGTTCATTTGAAAAAAATTTTTAAGTCATCGTTAGTATAAGTAGTTGCATAATATTTTTCAATTCTCAGTTGAGAAATTAATAATTCCTTCATTTATTGATAACGTAAAATTGTTTTGCTTGAACTTTTATGCATAAATCTAATCATATGAAAGTTTTGTATGACATATATTATAACTTGTATGGATTACATTATTACGTGTCATGAATTTATGTCATTTATTTATGTGTTTTTAAATATCCTTACAACATTACTTTCTATTGGAGAATATGCTTGTATTAATATTAAAAATTAATATTAAAATTAATATTAAAAATAAAAATTGATATTTATTCAAGTCGTAAATTTTAAAAGATATCTAGACGATTTATTTTTGCAAACTACTATTTTTCATGCTTTAGAATGATAAAATAGAACCAGAAGCCTTCACGTTCGACAAGTTTTACAGTTTGTATTTCAAGATATGTCCTAGGAATGATATCGAGGAACTTTTCCAATCTATGTAAGTATTAAATCGGACTCTGCGAATAATTTCACAGAAAAAAATATATTACCGTTTAACATCTATAGAACGAAAAGAAAAACGGATGCCATAAGTTTGGAACAATTGGTAGAATTTATGAACACAAAGCAAAGAGATCCACGACTCAACGAGATTTTATATCCTCTGTACACCGAGAAAAGATGCACGGAAATCATCAATGATTACGAGACGGACGAGAAAGCAAAAGCGGAAAGTGAGTTTCCGCGAAATCCAATTTTATTTCATCGTTATCCATTTTTCACATCACAATAGCGTTTTTATTCTATTATCTTCAGAGAAGCTGACGAAAGATGGTTTTATACGATACTTGATGTCGGATGAAAACGCGCCAATGTTCTTAGACAAATTGGAAGAATGGATGGATATGGATCAACCGTTGGCACATTATTATATCAATTCGAGCCACAATACTTATCTCAGCGGCCGTCAAATTGGTGGCAAGAGCACCGTTGAAATGTATCGACAGGTCCTACTTGCTGGTTGCAGGTGAAGGAGCTTTCAATTGTAACAAAGATAAACAAAGTCAAGTATAGATCGAAAAATGATTTACAACGCTTCTGGAGACATAACTGGAAAGAGGATCATTGCGATTGCAGATGCGTCGAACTGGATTGCTGGGACGGGAAGGGCGAGGATGAGGAACCTATCATAACTCATGGTAAAGCTATGTGCACCGATATTCTTTTCAAAGATGTAATTTATGCTATAAGAGACACTGCGTTCGTCACCTCGGAGTATCCCGTGATTCTAAGTTTTGAGAATCACTGCTGCATGAAGCAACAATACAAATTAGCGAAATACTGCGACGAAATATTCGGTGACCTGTTGCTGAAGGAACCCCTGAAAGATTATCCTGTAAGTAGAAGATACGTCGGGAGACGATTGCGTTTAATTAATGGCGTTTAGTTAATGGTTGCAATCAACGGATTCAGTTTAGTTATATATGTGGATAACAATGTTATTTCCAGCTCGAGCCTGGATGCCCTCTTCCTCCGCCGAGCGCGCTGAAACGTAAGATATTGATAAAAAATAAACGATTGAAGCCGGAAGTGGAAAAGGTCGAGCTCGAGCTTTTCCGTGCCGGACAATTTGAAGACAAAGATGAAGTGACAGAAGATGCTAGCGCGCCTGCAGCTGTTCCACCTCCAGAACCAGAACCACCGAAGGTGATTACCCATTCTAATAAATCTTCAAAAAATTGGAAGTTAAATTTCTTTCCTTTCCTCTGTCTCTTTCTTCGATTTTTATTCTGTTCGAAAAGATAAAATTTTTGATATCATCTTTTATGCGCTTATATAGGAAGGTGAAACTCCTGCCGGAGGCGAAGGAACCGAAGAGGTTCAAGTTATTCAATACACGGGCAGTACAATGCATGTTCATCCTTATCTTTCGTCAATGATAAACTACGCGCAACCAATAAAATTTCAGAGTTTTGAAACTGCAGAGAGTACGTAATATATCCGATCAATACTAATTATACTTTACAAATAAAAGTACATTAGAATAATTACTGGATTTATAATATTATTTTAAAAATTTATAATTTATATTATTTTTTTAAATCGTTGAATCTCTATATTTGATCTTTTTAAGAAGTTTTTGAGACATGAAATTATGCAGAATTCTCGTCAAATAAATACTAGTGAATTTGTGAAAGGCGTGAAACTTAATACTTTTCTTTTCGCGGCGAGCTTTACATATAAAAATGTATTTTAAATCTACCGAGATCTAGCGTACGTGTGTGATGGCGCATATGTCCCGGAGACTTAAGGAGGGTTAAATGAATGAGCGTACACGTGCGCACGTGTCGCGCGCGCGACATGTACTAATGTCTCGACCCCGACGTTGCAGGCAAGAATATACATCATAATATGTCTTCGTTCTCCGAGACTGCCGCTCTTAACTATCTGAAAACTCACTCCGTGGAGTTCGTTAATTACAACAAGCGGCAAATGAGTCGAATATATCCAAAGGGCACGAGGGCTGATTCGTCGAATTACATGCCCCAGGTAACTGCAGCAATACAAACGCGCTCGGATTCCCCGCAGAGTTATTACTCATATATATATATATATATATATATATATATATATA